TTTTTTTTTTTTTTTTTTTTTTTTTTTGTTTTTTATTTTACTTTCATTTTTTTATTGTTGTTTTAGTTGGTTGACTGGCTGAATAAGGGAAAGGATTAACGTATGCATCGAGTGGCCAACATTTGCGTAGATTTTGCTCGCCTGTTAATTTGTATGCAATTATTAAGCACAAATAAACAAAGTGAACACACACACACACATAAGACAAACACAGAGTTGCCAAGAACGGAGGTGAATTAGAGAGCTCTGGCTTAGTTCTTCAACAACTTTCCTCTGCACACTCGCACGCAGACATGAACCTTTTCTTAACCTTAACTTTTGTGAACCTTCTATAGCAAAAAAAATTTATGTTGACACTACACTTTTAAAGGAAATATAAAAAAAAAGCAAAAAAATTAGATAAAGGATGATCGCAGAAAACCCAACATTTACATTATTTTAATAGTTTATAAATAATTGTCGGATACTATACAGAAGGTAAGTTATTTTTAACAGAACCATTAAAATACCGAACAAAAGCAGCTGTCACCAAAACTAACTAAGCAAAGCAAAGCAAGTTATACTAATTTTTTACTCGTTCGTCTAAAAGTTTATGATGTCTTTGAAGTTACAAAGACAATACTTCGTTATTTCTTTTTTTCCCAAATATAGACAAACAAAATAGGATGAAAAGAAATTAATAAATAAACAATTTACTGAGATGGGCAAAGTAGCAAACAGTTGAACACAAAAAAAAAAAAATAAAAGAAAAAAGGGAAGGGAATAAAAGGCATGTTTTGGAGTTCTACTGTGATAACGATCGGTTAATTAAGGAGTTGCGTGTTGTTAAATCCATCAGAATTCATAATATATATACATATATATATATGTATATTTATATACAGTTTACAACAACGTGCACCTTGTTCGGCGTTTTGTTCGTTGTTTTGAAGCTTGTAGTGCTGCTTCTACACATTTCTCGAACACTTCCCGGACTCCCTAAATACATTACTGCAAATATTGCAGAAAAACCTTGAAAACTGTAAAACATTTTTTTCTGTCAAATATTGTTCACAAACAATTCAGTATTTGATCGGATACGTTGCAAAATAGTGTCATTGTTAAAAGCTGCATTGACTGATGATGACGGTGATAAAAGTTTGACGTTATTTATTTGAAGCAATTACCTCGCAAGTTCTAGCTGAACATTCACAGTAGTTATTGGCATGTATCATTTGCGATACATAGAGGCCCTGTTCCGGCGTAACTAACTTTGATTTACCGTCCGTTATCCATTGCTGTGAATTTGCCGATGAGCGTACATCTTTCTTCAGTCCAGCCATAACAATTGGAACTGATGGGCAATAATGCCGAATCTGAACAACATGGAAAGAAGAAATTTAGCATACAAATGTTGCTTTTGCAATGCGTCAATTTACTTCAATGTGCCTGTTAAATGTAAAGAGAATAATGTGATCTAAAAGGATAATCCCTGTATTTCTTGTTTTTAAAATAGTTACTGTTGCTGAGTGGAAAAGGAAAAAATTTGTATGACTTTTTCTTCTTATTGAATTCTGAAGCCTAACGAAGTGAACTTAATACTACGGTTTCAAAATACAGACAGCGACTGTTGCCAATACTAGAGCCCGTGATCAATTAGATGTGTAGTCTTTCTGTACTCCAATCACCATGGACATATAAATGTCCAATTGCAGCGTTATCATAAACGACTTGTTCAGGTTATAATGTTCGATAGCGTTTCTTGGTTTTTCTTCTTAGCTCATTACATCCTTAGCGCCATCAATACCTTTAATTTCTTGTAGGAACTTCTTCTTTTCAAAAATTATTGCCAGTGGCGAAAGCGAAGAGTGCTAGGTTGAAGAAGGATGACCAATAGGTAGGCAAAAAAAGCAAAAGAATTAAGGAAGAGTATAGTAGGGCTTTGTACTGCAGTCTAAAGTATTCATTTGGAAAAGAAGTAAAACTAGTTAAACTAGGAAGTTTATTGATCAGAAAAAAAAAAAAACGAATTGAAAAACAATTTTGAAAGAAAAAAAAATTTGACTGAAGTATAGAAAATGGGAGGAAAAAATAAAAATAAAAAAATAAAAGCTGCATAGTGCAGAAGTGAAGGGGGGGGCGTAAATGTGGAGTGCCTTAAATAGATCTTACCTAAAGCTGCTTATTAATTTTCATTTAACATAATCACGAACTTTTTTTTGCTTTTCATTTCAAGTAGCATGCAAACATATGATGATAAAAAAATGCAACAGAAATAGACCAAAACGAAAACAGACTAAAATTGTTCACTAACCTCGGGTAACCATTTTTCAGTAATATTTTCTAATGAATCAAGACTATCAATTGCAAAACACAGTAAAAAGATGTCAGTATCCGGATAACTAAGTGGCCGAAGTCTATCATAGTCTTCTTGACCGGCTGTATCCCATAATGAGAATTCAATCTGGAACAGTAATAGCAATTTTTCTACATCATATCTGTAAAATAAATGAAGTTGTGTTCATTACAAAATTGTTAAGAATATCAAAAGCTAAACAGTGATAACAGCAACAGTATAAAAATTTTTTTTTTTTTTTGGATCTGTTTACAATAAGGCTATGCACTAAATTGATTTGGCTAACAACCTGAACAGTAGTACAGTTAGTCACAGAAAATAGTCACTTAGTCGACACTTAGGAAGAAGTTTGAAACAAGCAATTAATCTTAATAAGCAACAGTTTCTATTATTGATTCTTTTCTTTGTTTCTTTTCTAAACAAATAAAAAAAGTTTAAGTTTTATTTGTACAGTACAATTGATCTTTTTTTTTATAATACTTTCAATTTACTTTCACTAAGCTTAGTTTTGTGCAAAAAAAAAAAAAAAAAAATATGATATAAAAATTTATATTCTAAAAATTTTATCATCAAACATTATTTGTTTGCAGTTTATTCTTTTCGCTTTTTTTTTTTCACTTATTCTTGTTCAAATCTGAGGTTTAGCATTTGCTGTATTAAAGCACAAAAATTTATTTGTTAGGTTACTTTTTGGTTATAAACTGCTTAACAAAACCGTACTTTTTCTTCTTCACTTTACATCAAATATATACATAATCGTTTATGTTTTTGTTGCTGTTATTAGGCAGTTAGTTTAAACAATTCTGTGACTTTTAAACGAAAAAATAAATAAATAAATAATAGAAAAACAATAAAGTTGAACAAAAAAGAAAAAAAACTAAAACAGTGAAAATAATACTAAACTATAGAAAAGAAAAAATTGGCTAAATAAATGAATAAAATAATGTAAATAAAAAAGAAGCAAAAATTATTTAATAATTATTAACCATAGATTTATTTTTTTTTTAGTTTTTTGGTTGTTTTTGTTGTTGTTAAAATTTGCCATATTTTAATAGATGTTCTAAAATAATCTTATAGTTTTATAGCGAAGTTTTTGAAAGTATTAAGAAGCCTTTTATATTGACCAAAAAAAAAATAAGTAGTTTAAACAATACAACGAATAATAAACTTATTTTTCTGTTTTAAAAAAGTTTTACAGTTTAATTGAATAGTTAAAAAAAAGAGGTTGTTCGCTCAATAAATTACAACGAACACTGAACAACTGCAGTTGACTAAAGTTTATTAAAAAAAAAGGAAAAGTTTTGCTTAAATAGTACAGTTATTTATCAGATTAATTTTTGTGCTATCTAACTGTTGTTTTTTCTCCTTTTTTTTGAGGGGGAGAGGTGTAAAAGAAGAAATTTGGTTAATGACTCAGATAAGTATAATATCAGAAGAGTTAACTGTACTTTGATAAGCGATCAAAAGTACATATGTATCAGAGGTATCTGCATTGTTGCTGTTACAATTGGTATTACTGCTAATAAAAGTATCAGTACTGTTCAAACAACTTCTTCTTTTTGAAGCTTTCTTTTTTTTTTTTTTTAGGAAATTTCTGTAAAAAGTCGAAAATTTGCCTCGCAAAAGTCAAACGAACTGTTTTATTGCGGAAAGTAATATCGGCAACGTAGGTTTCAAATACAGTTGGCACATAGTTTTCGTTGAATTCGTCTCTGCAAAATCGTATCAGCAAAGAGGTTTTTCCACATGCACCATCACCGACGATCACCAACTTTTTTCGTACCGGATTGCTCATTTGGTTTTTTGGTTTTTTTTTTCTTTTCTTTGGTTCGTTTCGGTTACCAATCCACAATTTGAATGTGTAATTCAGAAGTTGTAATAGTTTTTTACGAAAGTAAGAATAAGAAAATAGAAGCAGAAAAGAATAAACAAAATTTTTAAAAGTAAAATTGTAAAATTAGAGTAATTGCTTATCTAAAAAATATTTATAATTTTTTGTTAAATTTATTCTTTCACTTTTACTTTTTTTTTTTTTTGCCAAATTTTTTTTT